CTGACCTCACTTGCCAAAACACCCCAGGAGTGCAGGACTTGACAGCGGACATGCACTTTCTCACTCACTGTTGCATTTGAACAAACACTCCAGGGCATCTCATTCCCATCCTACAAATATGAGAACATTACCAGGAAAACATGGCAACTTGCTCAAAGTCACGCGGCTAGTAATCGACGGTGCTTGAGACCATCCACCCCAGGTCTCTTGGCAATACAATTCTGCAAATGAAAGAAAGGCAGAAAGGGGAACTTGTCCTGAGTCTGGGCAGAAACTGTGATTGGCATTCCCTGTCCACCACAGGGTATAAGCATACCCTGCCCCATGCCCCAGGTTTAGGGAAGGAAACTTCTGTCTTTGAGTATATTATTCAATGCATTGCTCCAATGCATTGCTGTCCACAAGGTTGAGGCTACTGTCCCAATTTTTGCACAAGAAAGGTTCAGGGAGGGAGGCAATTTACCACAAGTTAACTCATGGCCTGAGTCACCCCAATTTTCTATTTTTGAGTCAGGGTCTCTCTCCGTTGCCCTGACAGTGGCATGATGACAGCTCACAGTAGCCTCCATCTTCTGGGCTCAAGCAATCCTCCCACCTTAGCCTCCCAAGTAGCTGGGACCACAGGTGCACACCACCATGCCCAGCTAATTTTAAAACATTTTTATAGAGACAGGGCCTCGTTCTGTTGCCCAGGCTGGTCTCAAACTCCTGTCCTGAAGCAATCCTCCTACTTGTAATCCCAAAGCATTGCGATTACAGGTGTGAGCACCATGCTTTGCCAACCATGTTACTATCTCGGTAGCACCATGTTTACTTCTGAAGTATTAACCTAACAGGTCACATAAATAACAGCAAAAACAATTCCCATGTACTGGCCACAGACTATGTTGTATTTGACTCTCACAACAATTCTACAAACTAGACACTGTGATGATCATTCCTGTTATACAGACGAGGAGGCGGGTGCAGAGCAGACACATCGGTATGCAGATACACAGCTGGTCGTGGCAGGGCTGAGCCAGGAACCCAGTCAACCTGATGAGGGAACCCAGGCTGTTTGCCTGCGAAGCCCTGGGCTTTCTGTGCTGACTATAGATTATGAGCACAGGGAGGGACAGGGACAGTGGCTTGCCCACAGAGACAGAGGCTGGGGACGGATATGGTTCCTGGGATTCCCATCCCAGGACTCCCTCCCCAGTGCTCCCCAAGGGGATGAACAAACTGCCTGCATGGTTCTCTACTTTTCAGACAAGTTGGCCATACTGGTGAAAGTTGTCTCAGGGGCAAGCAGGCCTGAGGGGTAGACGCTTCCACCAGGACAACCAGGGCTGCAGACACGGAGCCAGAGAGGGAACGCAGAGTGGGGGCTAAGCAGGGTCTTGTTCACCAATGGGGGAGGGATTGTGGAGTGGGATAGGGTAGCTCCAGCATCTGCTCATCTGTGGAAGGTCTCCCAGAGCCTTTAGCAGGCTCAGTGCACCAGGTTCCCTGATTACATTGTGTAGGAGTTGGAGCCTCCTGGGTCTGCAGGAGAGGAGGGGGCCACTTAGAGAAGTGGGGGTGGGAGATTCAAAGAGAGAGAGGAAAGAGAGAGAGAGAGAGAGACAGAGACAGAGACAGAGAGACAGAGAGACAGAGGGACAGGGGCTGCCCAGGCCTTTGTGAAGGGACATTTATCTAGCTCTCAAGTCTTGATGTGGAAAAGCCACACTTTTTACTTTTTTTTTTTTTTTTTTTTTGAGACAGAGTCTCGCTCTGTCACACAGGCTGGAGTGTAGTGGTGCAATCCTGGCTCACTGCAGCCTCCACTTCCCGGGTTCAAGTGATTCTCCTGGCTCAGCCTCCCGAGAAGCTGGGATTATAGGCGCATGCTACCCCGCCCAGCTAGAGACGGGGTTTCACCGTGTTAGCCAACATGGTCTCGATCTCCTGACCTCATGATCCACCCACCTCGGCCTTCCAAAGTGCTAGGATTACCTTGGGTCTCAAAATGTTCCCAAGCCCCTCCAGACATGGCCTTTCACCCTGGCTTCTCTCAAGCCAAGTCTTAGGAAAGGTTGTCTACACTTCTTGACCCCATCTTTTCACTCTTCTTCATACTGGAGGCCACTGCAGAATGGCCAACCCACCCCGGGTCCACTGGCCACCCTCAAGCCTGGTGTTTGTCTGCACAGACAGTGGTGAGCCTTCCTTCCTGCTGCCTCAGTTTCCCCGATGCCACTCTCCTGCTGTCCCTCCTGCCTCCCTGGTAGCGTGAGCCACCACACCCAGCCAAGCCTCACTTTTTCTTTCTCATTCCGCCTTGTCTAGAATCTTCTGATCACTCTATTAATGGGGTGAGCCATTATGAAAAAGGCGAGCTGGTGAGAGCCTCCTTTCTCCCTCCCTAGGAGGAAGGGGAAGCAGCCATGGGTTCTAAAGGTCTAAAGTCAGCCTCCCTACCTCAGGTAGTAGACACCGACCTGCATGTGCCAAGGGCAGGACTCACTCCTGGAACCTTGTGCGATGGCCCCGAGAGGGAAAGCAGGTGCCCCTGAGTCCAGACTTCTGCAGTTGTATCAGAGGGCCTATGCAAGCTGCTTGGGCTCTGGCTGATTTCATGTGAGGGCGTGCCCAGCACTGGCCGAGGTGGAATGTCCTCTTGAGGCAGTTGGAAAGGGGCTCTGAATATGCCAGATCTGACCTAGAGGAACACAGGAGTGTGCAGGTCTCACGCCCTAACCTAAGGACTAACATTGTCATTTGCTTCTCCCCCAGTTTGGCTTCTTGGGGATCCTAAAGCCAGTCAGAAGCAGGGAGGAAGCAGGAGAGTCCTGAGAGGCCTGATATCCCTGGATGGCCCTTTTCCCAACAGCCATAAAGGGCCTGATGTGCAAGCTCTGCTTGACCAAGAGGCCACTGGGGCAACACTTGAGCTGTGAAACCAGGTTGCACAGAAGTCCACTTCTTCCTTCTCTCAAGGCCAGGTGTGCAACCAGTGGCCTTCATCCAGGCTTCCACCTTCTAGGAGCCCTGCTGTCCAAGCCCCCAAGTGTCCCACAGGCCAACTGAGGTCAAGAGGTACCCCAGGCCTCAGGGCCACATGGCCAGTCCACAGAGGAGCTGGGACTGGAATTTGCCTCATGGGCGCTGGACCCCTCTATCACTTTGGCCCTTTATCTCTCCCGGCTGTGCTCTCTCCCTCTCCCAACACCAGCCAGGCATCCCAGCTTGGTGTCTCAGCCAGAGCACCAAACAGGGAGTCATTTGAGGTTGCATCAGGAGAGACTTCCCGGAAGCTGTAGGGGCAAAGAGGAGATTGCTGTGCCTGGTTGGAGGTCAGGGAAAGCTTCATGAGGTGAAAGGGCAGGCCCAACAGAAGGATGGGGGCAGAGCTGGGAGAAAGAGTAGGAGGCTCAGATGAGCCTATGTGATGGAGGCCTATGTGACATTCTGGCACTTGGGGTGTGCAGGGATGGGGTGAGGACAGTGGGAACAAAAAGGCCACAGGCCCTGATGCCAGACTAGGGGGTGTGTGGGCTCCTGAAGGTAGAGGTTGAAATGGCCAAATCGGTGGTTTAAAGGAACCCCTGGACAATGGTGTGGAGGGTGGACTATGGTCTGAGGAGAGCCTGAAACCTAGAGAAGGTGGAGTCTGGAGGCTGGGGCAGCACTGCATGGGAGAGATGGTGGCAGGAGCCAGGCAGGGGTGGAGGGGAGGCTGGAGGGGAGTGCTTTCAGAAAGAAGGAGCTGAGCTCAGGGCTCATGCAGCAGACACTCAGCAGAAGAGCAGTCAAGGGGGCCCAGTGGGGACAACTAGGATGTTCATGGGAGTCTTGAACTCAGAGATACAGACAGGGTGGTGTCTACCTATTATAACTGGTGTTCTGGGAGAGGGTGTCCCCAGGGAAGCCCAAGGCCAGGGAAGAGAAGCAGCCCAGGAGGTGACCCCACACACTCTCAATATTAAGAAGACAGTCCTTGGGGGAGACCAAGAAGGAGCCACCAGGGAGGCAGGAGGGACAGCAGGAGAGAGGCATCAGGGGAGACTGGGGCGGCAGGAAGGAAGGCTCACCACTGTCTGTGCAGACAAACACCAGGCTTGAGGGTGGCCAGTGGACCCGGGGTGGGTTGGCCATTCTGCAGTGGCCTCCAGTATGAAGAAGAGTGAAAAGATGGGGTCAAGAAGTGTAGACAACCTTTCCTAAGACTTGGCTTGAGAGAAGCCAGGGTGAAAGGCCATGTCTGGAGAGGCTTGGGAATATTTTGAGACTGAGAAAAACAGTGAAGAAGGATGCAGAAGGGGATAGATGGAGCAGAGCCTCTGTCTGGCTGACAGCTGGGTCCAGAGAGCAGGTGGTATGGCCTTGAATAGACAGGGCAACTTGTCCCTTGCAAGGGTGAATCTCTAGGTTGGGGGTGGCTACTGTCTTCATTCACCAGTTCTTTTTTGTTTTTTGTTTTTTTCATACTGAGTCTCACTCTGTTACCCAGGCTGGAATGCAGTGGCATGATCTTAGCTAACTGCAACTTCTGCTTCCCAGGTTCAACGAGTTCAAGCGATTCTCATGCTTCAGCCTGTAGCTGGGACTACAGGTGTGAGCCACCATGTGTAGCTAATTCTTGTATTTTTAGTAGAGATGGGGTTTCACCATGTTGGCGAGGCTTGTCTGGAACTCCTTATCTCAGGTGATCTGCCCACCTCGGCCTCCCAAAGTGCTGGGATTATAGGTGTGAACCACCATGCCCTGCCTCATTAATCAATTCTTAATCGATGCCTACTGGATGCCAGGCAATGCCTAGAGCTGGAGATTTAGCAGTAAACAACTAAATCCATCACCCTGACTCCTGAGGAGTAGAAGGATGTAGAATAGGCACCTGGCTCTCTTTCTCTCTTGAGGGACTTAATGCTCTTGAGCAACCCTGGCTATGACAATCTCCTGTCGGGTCTGGGAAGTTGTCAGAGAGATGGAGAAACCACTTCCTCGTCTTGCACACGAGGCAGACCTCACTCACTGCCCAGCAGGTCCTGTGAAGCAATAGCCAGGGGCTGAAGCAAACCCCAGCCCACACCCTGGCAGGCAGCCAGGGATGGGTGGGTCAGGAAGTTTCCTGGTTGGGCCTTTGCATCAGGCTCAGGTTGAGCATAAAGGAGGCTCCTGTGGGCTAGAGGGAGGCAGACATGGGGACCATGAAGACCCAAAGGGATGGCCCCTCCCTGGGGCGGTGGTCACTGGTGCTGCTGCTGCTGGGCCTGGTGATGCCTCTGGCCATTGTTGCCCAGGTCCTCAGCTACCAGGAAGCTGTGCTTCGTGCTATAGAGGGCATCAACCAGCGGTCCTCGGATGCCAACCTCTACCGCCTCCTGGACCTGGACCCGAGGCCCACAATGGTGAGCTTCTGGCAAGGTTCTGCTCTGCTCTGGCTAGGCTTGGCCACCTGTCGTTCCTTCTGCTCCTGCTGCACTGCCTGCCAGGAGGGCATCTCCCCCTTTAAGTGTGGTCCCGTCTTTTCCAGGGAACTTTCTAGAGCTCGTGTCTTCTCCCAGCATGAGAGCTTCCTGCCTTAGAATTCCTGCGGTGGCAGAGATACCCTCACCCCAACCCCATGCAGGTGTAGAGACTTCTGTGAGCTCCAGGCACTAGAGTGGGGTCATTGGCTCTGGGCAGTGACCTCCTCTGCTTTAAGTCTCTGCTGTACCACGTTACCCCACACAGGGAAGAACTCTGTCCAGACTTTAGGTTCCAGTGGGTATGTCTTGTCCCCCAGGAAGCTCCCCGACTTCCCTTGCCCCCACCCCAGAGTGGGAGGGGCTCCTTGTTAGAGCTCATCTGAGGTCTGCTCCTATTCACTGTTCACCTAGGAGGGTAGGAATGGCTCAGTCCTCCTCCCCTCAGTACCCCAGTGCCGAGCCCAGTGCCCAGTGCCCATCGCACATCAGGTACTACTGTTGAAAGCCTATCCTCTTGGTGGGAAGGTCATGGACACAAATCAGAAAGTACAAGTATGGGTCTCCCCATTTCCTCCTCTGACTAGGATGGGGACCCAGACACCCCAAAGCCTGTGAGCTTCACAGTGAAGGAGACAGTGTGCCCCAGGACAACACAGAAGTCACCGGAGGATTGTGACTTCAAGGAGGACGGGGTGAGGCTTGGGGCTGGGGGTGTTGGTGGGTTCCTCCCAACGAGCTGAACAAGGGGCACCTGGGGAATATTTCCTACTGGGATGGGGCTGGGAGGTTGTGACAAATGGTTTCAAGTTTGACCTTGAGCTTCTCCTTTCCAGCTGGTGAAGCGGTGTGTGGGAACAGTGACCCTAAACCAGGCCAGGGACTCCTTTGACATCAGTTGTGATAAGGTGAGTGGGCTGTTCTGGGATGCAGGGGCTGATGGGAGCATACAGTGTGGACCATCCTATGGGTCAACTAACTGCCCCCTCAACCCAGGGCAGAGAAAGCACCTCCTACCCAGGGCTCTTCCCCCAACTTGAGCTCCATCTCTGGGGCTGGCTCTGGAATCCTAAGGCATAGCTCTCCAAGTGTAGCCCTTCCTGGGGACTCGTTAGACATGCAAATTCTCAGGCCCCACTCAGATCTACTCAGACAGATGCTGGGTAGGGCCCAGAAATTCGTATTTTGATAAGCTTTCCAGGAGATTCTGGCTCCTGTAAAGTTTGAGAGCCACTGTCTTAGAGTACTCAGCTCTCAGCCCTGTGTTCCCATCTCAGTGTTTCTGGGCTGAGCTGTGTGACCGTGCAGAGCCCCTCACCATCTCCGGGACTCAGTTTTCTCATCTTTTTACTTGGTGTAGGGACTCAATCACATGCTTCAAAGATCACAGTCAGAGGTTGAACTGGGGCCCCAAAGTTCCTGCGGGGGCCCACGAAGAGGGGCATCTAGGTGGGGAGGTGTCTTGGATTGACCCTGGGTACGCCCCTGACAAGGAACCTGTTTCTTCCTGTATACAACTCCAGGATAATAGGAGATTTGCCCGGCTGGGCAAATTCTTCCGGAAAGTTAAAAAGAAGATTGGCGGAGGGCTTAAAAAAATTGGCCAGAAAATCAAGGATTTTTTGGGGAATCTTGTACCCAGGACAGCGTCCTAGTGTGTGCCCTACTCTGGCTCAGGCTTCTGGGCTCTGAGAAATAAACTATGAGAGCAATTTCCTCAGGCTGCAATCTCACTTGTCTTGCCTCCTCTCTCTCACCACTACCGAGCCCTTAACTCAGGGAGGCCGCGTGTGAGTGTGAGTGTGTGTGAATGTGACACAGAGGTGGCGAGGGCAGTGTTCCATCCAGGAGGACACAGGGTAAGGCAGCAGGGCCAGGAGGTCCAAGACAGCATCCCCATTCTCAGTGGAACTCTCAGTGGGGAATTAAGGAGCTCTACTCTGTGTGTGGTGGTGGGGGAATGCTGTGGAGCTGTTCCTGCTCATGGGGAGGTGACATTCGGGAGAGGGGCCAAGCGTGTTGTTAACATGCAGAGAAGCATGGTCCAGTCCCATGGGTGGCTGGCCAACTGGGTGCGGTCTGCCTGCAGGTACAATTCCCATAAAATTCCACTGCTTCCTAAAAGACTTAACTCAGGAAAGCCCACAACTCCGGGCATTTCCTCTGGCATTGGGACACATCACAGTTTCGTCAGGTAGGTAGCAGACTTAACTTGTGGGCTTGTGTTTAGGGATTGTTGGAAACAAGAATATGGTCGGGCGTGATGTCTCATACCTGTAATCCCAGGACTTTGGGAAGCCAGGCGGGTGGATTACTTGAGTTCAAGAGTTTGAGACCAGCCTGGGCAACATGGCAAAGCCTGTCTCTACTAAAAATACAAAAATTAGCTAGGCGTGGTGATGCATGCCTGTAGTCCCAGCTACTCGGGAGGCTGAGGTGGGAGGATTTCTTAAACTTGGAAGGCAGAGGTTGCAGTGAGCTGAGATTGCGCCACTGCACTCCAGCCTGGGTGACAGGGTGAAACCCTATCTAAACAAACAAAGGTGAGTGGGCTCACAAAAACCAAAGACCAGCCAGGGGCGGTGGCTCACGCCTTGTAATCCCAGCACTCTGGGAGGCCAAGGTGGGCAGATCACCTGAGGTCAAAATTTCAAGACCAGCCTGACTAACATGGAGAAACCCCATCTCTACTAACAATACAAAATTAGCTGGGCGTGGTGGTGCATGCCTGTAATTCCAGCTACTCGGAAGGCTAAGGCAGGAGAATCACTGGAACCCGGGAGGCAGAGGTTGTGGTGAGCTGAGATCATGCCATTGCACTCTAGCCTGGGCAACAAGAGCAAAACTCCATCTCAAAAAACAAAACAAAACGAACAAACAAACAAAAAACCCACCTAAAGCAAATACCCACATGCACACCCTAGCTCTCTGACCTTGGGAACATCATCTAACCTTTCAGTCTCAATATTTTCACCTGTAAAATGGAAAACATAACAGTTCATTCCTCCAGGATGACTATGGGGATAGATGATAGATGGCACGTGTGAAGTGCTGGGCACATAATAGAAATCTAGAGATTCTTTGTCTTTTTGCACCATCTCAACGCAAGGATGGATTCTTTGTTGTGCCAAAGAGCTGGTCTTCTCCCTCTCTGCTGAAGCACCCCCAGTGGCAGGAAACTCACTGCCTGCTATTGTGAGTCAGTGCATTCCATGGCTGGGTAGTTTCTTGTCTTAGAAATTGATGCAGTGAAATTCAGTTTTCCATGCCTTTACCTAGCACAGTGTTTGGCATATTATTGGCACTCAGATGTTTTAATGAATGAACAGAAAAAAGCTGTTAATCATTCATTTATCATCTTTAAGAAAAATAAGATTAAAAGGCCAGGCACAATGGCTCACACCTGTAATCCCAGCACTTTGGGAGGCCAAGGTGGGCGGATCATCTGAGGTCAGGAGCTCGAGGCCAGCTTGACCAACATGGTGAAACCCCGTCTCTACTAAAATACAAAAATTAGCCAGGCCTGGTGGCAGATGCCTGTAATCTCAGCTACTCCGGAGGATGAGGCAGGAGAATCGCTTGAATCCGGGAGGCGAAGGTTGCAGTGAGACGAGATGGCACCACTGCACTCCAGCCTGGGTGGCAAAGCGAGACTCTACCTCAAAAAAAAAAAAAAAAAAAAAGAAAGAAAGAAAAGAAAAATAAGATTAATTTACTAAGCTACAGGCTTTGTGAAGCTAGCTTTTTGGCACCATGCTTTTCTCAGTAATTATTTATTGGATAAATAAAGATCTAGTTAGTAAAATATAGTCTGTCCATAAGAATACTTCAAAACACACACACATATTTCTTTTCCTCTCTCTCTCTATGTGAGACTATAGCTTTATTTTTTTAGTATATATGATGCTTTAACATAAAACAACACATTTGATTTTTTGAGGGGGCTTATAATTTTCTGCCTTCCCACCCCCTTTTGTGTAGTATAACATTCAAACGGAAAAAGTGCACATCTCATAAAGGTACAGATGGATGCATTTTCACAAACTGAACACCCCTGTGTGGAATCAGCACTGGGATCAAAAAACATAAATTACAAGTACCCCAGAGGTCCAACTCACGCCACTCACAATTATTACCCATTCTGTCCTCCCAGAAATTACCAATATCCTGATTTTTTTTTTTTTTTTTTTGAGACGGAGTCTTGCTCTGTATCCCGGGCTGGACTGCAGTGGCCGGATCTCAGCTCACTGCAAGCTCCGCCTCCCGGGTTTACGCCATTCTCCTGCCTCAGCCTCCCGAGTAGCTGGGACTACAGGCGCCCGCCACCTCGCCCGGCTAGTTTTTTTTTGTGTGTGTTTTTAGTAGAGACGGGGTTTCACCGTGTTAGCCAGGATGGCCTCGATCTCCTGACCTCGTGATCCGCCCGTCTCGGCCTCCCAAAGTGCTGGATTTACCCAGGCTTGAGCCACCGCGCCCGGCCTTTTTTTTTTTTTTCGAGACGGAGTCTCACTCTATCGCCCAGGCTACAGGAGTGCACAGGCGCGATCTCGGCTCACTGCAAGCTCCGCCTCCCGGGTTTGCGCCATTCTCCTGCCTCAGCCTCCCGAGTAGCTGGGGCTACAGGCGCTCCCTTGTACGCCTGGCTAACGTTTTTGTATTTTTAGTAGAGACACGGTTTCACTGTGTTAGCCAGGATGGTCTTGATCTCCTGACCTCGTGATCTTCCTGCCTCGGCCTCCCAAAGTGCTGGGATTACAGGCGTGAGCCACCGGGCCCGGCCTTTTTTTTTTTTTTTTGGGAGATTCTCATTTTTTTTTTTTTTTTTTAGGGAGATTCTCACACTGTCACCTAGGCTGGAGTGCAGTGGCGCAATCTCAGCTCACTGCAACCTCCGCCTCCTGGGTTCAAGCAGTTCTCCTGCCACAGCCTCCCAAGTAGCTGGGATTACAGGCGCGCACCACCGTGCGTGACTGATTTTTGTATTTTTAGTAGAGGCAGGGTTTTGCCATGTTGGCCTTGCTGGTCTCAAATTCCTGACCTCAAGTGATCCTCCCGCCTCCACCTCCCAAAGTGCTGGGATTACAGGCATAAGCCACTCCACCGGCCCAATATCCTGATTTTTTTTTTTTTTCTTTTGAGACAGAGTCTTTGCTCTGTCACCCAGGCTGGAGTGCAGTGGAATGATCTCGGCTCACTGCAACCTCTGCCTCTCAGGTTCAAACAATTCTTCTTCTCAGCCTCCTGAGTAGCTGGGACTACAGGCGCCTGCCACCACGCCCAGCTAATTTTTGTATTTTTAGTAGAGACCAAGTTTCACCATATTGGCCAGGCTGGCCTTGAACTCCTAACCTCATGATCTGCCCACCTTGGCCTTCCAAAATGCTGGGATTACAGGCATGAGCTACCATGCTTGGCCCAGTATCTTGATTTTTAGCATGCAGACATTTTGCCTGATTTTGAATTTTATTTATTTTATTTTTTATTTTTATTTATTTTTTTAAGATGGAGTTTCACTCTTGTTGCCCATGCTGGAGTGCACTGGCACGATCTTGGCTCACCGCAACCTCTGCCTCCTGGGTTCAAGTGATTCTCCTGCCTTAGCCTCCTGAGTAGCTAGGATTACAGGCATGTGCCACTACACTGGCTAATTTTTTTTTTTTTTTGAGACAAAGTCTTGCTCTGTTGCCCAGGCTGGAGTACAGTGGTACGGTCTGGGCTTACTGCAACCTCAGCCTCCCGGGTTCAAGCGATTCTCCTGCCTCAGTCTCCTGAGTAGCTGGGACTACAGGTGCGTGCCATCACACCTGGCTAATTTTTTGCATTTTTAGTAGAGACAGGGTTTCTTCGTATTAGCCAGGATGGTCTTGATCTCCCGACCTCATGATCTACCTGCCTTGAACTCCCAAAGTGCTGGGATTATAGGTGTGAGCCACCCTTTCCCGGCCTAATTTTGTATTTTTAGTAGAGACGGGGTTTCTCCATGTTGGTCAGGCTGGTCTTGAACTTCTGACCTCAGGTGAACCACTGGCCTCCCAAAGTGCTGTGATTACAGGCCTGCACTACCGTGCCCGGCCTTGATTTTGAGCTTTAAATAAATGGAATGATATGATACATATTCTTTTTGCCTGGCTTCTCTCTCTTCATATTATGTTGGTGAGATCACCTCTGTTGATGATGAGAGGTAGGGATCGAGTTTCTTTTTTTCTTTTTTCATATGGATATCTAATTGACCCAGCACTTTTTATTGAAATAATTATTTCCCAACCCTGACATATGTTTTAAATACTGTTTTATTTTCTGATTATAAAATCAAGACACATGTCAAGCATGGTGATATGTATTTGTAGTCCCAGCCACTTGGGAGGCTGCGGCAGGAGGATCACTTGAGCTCAGGAGTTTTAGAACAGCCTGGGTAACATAGTGAGACCCCCATCTCTAAAAAAATTTTTTTAAAAATTAAGACACATTGCCGGGCGCGGTGGCTCAAGCCTGTAATCCCAGCACTTTGGGAGGCCGAGACGGGCGGATCATGAGGTCAGGAGATCGAGACCATCCTGGCTAACACGGTGAAACCCCGTCTCTACTAAACATACAAAAAACTAGTCGGGTGAAGTGGCGGGTGCCTGTAGTCCCAGCTACTCGGGAGGCTGAGGCAGGAGAATGGCGTGAACCCGAGAGGAGGAGCTTGCAGTGAGCTGAGATCCGGCCACTGCACTCCAGCCTGGGTGACACAGCAAGACTCCGTCTCAAAAAAAAAAAAAAAAAAAAAAAAAAAAAAATTAAGACACATTAAAAAGCCTTGACAATCCTGAGCATTGATAAAGTTGTGGAGGGTGGAGCCATCCTGGGGAGCCATTTGGAAGTACCTAATAAATATGAATATATGTACACCTGTGAACAAGCCATTCTGCCCTTGGTCTACAGCGTAGAGCAGCTTTTCTCCAGGTGTTGTCTGGGGAATCCCTGGGGGGCAACGTGAGACTTTCAGTGGGTCTGTGAGGTAAGGGATAGTTTTTTCTCTCTACATAGCTTATAAGTGGAGTTTTGGAGACTATGTGGTATCTGATATCTTTGGGGAACAGCTTCAACACAACATCCTGGTGACCTTGCACATGTCCACATAGGCCATGCAGGCAAGTTTTGAACCACAGTTTTTGTTTGTTTGTTTTTTCTTTTTGAGATGGAGTTTTGCTCTGTTGCCCAGGCTGGAGTGCTGTAGCGTGGTCTCGGCTCACTGCAACCTCCGCCTCCTAGGTTCAAGTGATTCTCCTGCCTCAGCCTCCCAAGTAGATGGGATTACAGGCACCTGCCACCACGCCCAGCTGATTTTTTTTAGTACAGACGGGGTTTCACTATGTAAGCCAGGCTGGTCTTGAACCCTGACCTCAGGTAATCCACCCACCTCAGCCTCTCAAAGAGCTGGGATTATAGGCGTAAGCCACCATGTCCAGCTTGAACCACAGTTAATCTGAATCTTGGCAGAATTCCCTGTGGTCCTTCCTGGGACATGAGAGCCTAGAAGCTTGTGAGGAGGAGGTGCTCCCCTAGGCCACTTCCAACTTGCCTCCCTGTATCTCCTGGGAGGGTTCTGGTGAGATATGTGGCTTTCTGCCTTGGCCCTTTAGGGTTTAGTTGTATACTCTAAAACCACTTAACCAGCCGGGCATGGTGGCTCATGCTTATAATCCCAGTACTTTAAGAGGCTGAGGTGGGTGGATTACCTGAGATCAGGAGTTCGAAACCAGCCTTGCCAACATGGCGAAACCCCGTCTCTACTAAAAATACAAAAATAAGCCTGGCATGGTGGTACATGCCTGTAATCCCAGCTATTCGGGAGGCTGAGGCAGAAGAATTGCTTGAACCTGGGAGGCAGAGGTTGCAGTGAGCCGAGATTGTGCCACTGCCCTCCAGCCTGGGAGACAGAGGAAGACTCTGTCTCAAAAAAAAAAAAATTAATTAATTAATTAATTAGACAAAAATGGCCAGGCACAATGGCTTATGCCTGTAATCCTAGCACTTTGGGAGGCCAAGGGCGGGGTGGATCATTTGAGGTCAGGAGTTCGAGACCAGCCTGGCCCACATGGTGGAACCCCATCTCTGCTAAAAATACAAAAATTAGCTGGGCATGGTGTCACGTGCCTTTAGTCCCAGGTACTCAAAAGACTGAGGCAGGAGAATCGTTTGAACCCGGGAGGTGGAGGTTGCAGTGAGCAGAGATCATGCCATTCCACTCCAGGCTGGGTAACAGAACGAGACACCGTCTCAAAAATAAATAAATAAATAAATAAAATAAAAATAAAACCACTTGACCATCACAAACACTTAAAACCAATAGTAAGTGCAAAACTATGCCAACTGGTGCATGCATATTCCCTGATCTCTCTATTGTTTTCACTCCAGGTCTCAGCTGCTTTAAGGAATAAAAACCTCCCTGAGGGCCTGCGTCCTCTGCATTGCCCTGCATTCCCTAAACTCCCAGCTGAGGAGATAGGTGGTCTCCTGGCAGCTGCAGTGCCTATGTAAAACTGTGTTTTTGCAATAAAAAAAAAAAAGCACTTGATAGAGTTTGGACAAAACTTGCAGTGCAGAGAAAAAAAGTCAAGGTAACTATGTGGTTTGGGTGGATTCATTGTGTGTGAGAATGTATAATTGGTATTAACAGTGTATTACATCTTTGAACCTTAAATGCTCATAAAATGTTAGAGAAAATTGCTTTGGTGTCCAATGCTTCCACTGTATAAATGATGTTCTGTTAACTGGCAAGCCAGAAATGTCTACTTTCTGTGTTAACAGCAGTCAGCATGGGTGACTGGTAAACCCCAACAAAACTCAGAGGACTGCTTGCCAATTAAAGGTTCTTGAAACAACATGGGTGGATTCACAAAGCTAATCTCTCCAGCAGTCAGACAAGAATAATTGCTGCCTCTTACAAAGTAAGAACTCTATGTTCCCAGTACTAACACTGCTGCTGCGTGCCAAACTTGTAACTCCTGTTGAAAGCAGGCCCATTTATCTTCTAGTGAAAAACAGGCCACACTACACAGGACTCTGGCCCCACCTGCATCTGCAGAGATCTTTGACCCCCACCCCCTCCAGGCTAATGGCTATACTTTTCTTACCAGGTTTTTTCTTTATTCAGGTTTTAAAGTGTTTCAGTCCATTCAGCTGACTCTGGCCCCACTGTGGCCCTTGAAATTAATCTGTTATGTTTTATTTGATGGACATTTCACAGACCCAAGTAACTGATCCTGCAGAATGTATTGTGAAAATAGATGCTTTCAGTATGAATGATATTTATCCCGACTTTAAGGGATGCTCCCAATGGGGAAAGGCCATAGTTAGGACAGTGGCAGTGGGACAAGTACACAACTGGGAGCCCACCAGGCCACATGATGGCAGTAAAGCAGCATAGAATACAAGGCTGGGAGGGTGGGGGGGCACTCTACCCACGAAAGAGCTGGGGGAGGCAGAAGTGCTAAAGGAAACCCGACACCCTATGTGGACTGCCCTCCCACTCAGCCAATTAATCCTAAAGAGCCTTAACATTAAGAGTGTGGGTAAGGTGACTGATAAGTATGCAGACTGGAGCCTGTGGCAAAAAGATGTAGCCGCTAAGCAATGGTCCCCTTGTGGACCTGGAGAAAGCATTTGTCTGATGCCACTACCAGGTATATCCTTTTTGAGAGGAAATTATTGGCTGGTTATTGGCTGTTAGTGGACACTGAGAAATTAACAAAGCAACAGCAGGTGTTGTTATGCCTTGACATCCGTGAGAGGGTCAAAAATGAAAACACCAACAAAACGGATTTTTCCCAGAAAGGAAATAAACTAAGAGTGTGGCAGGAAGAGCGTCAGACAAAACCTCTCACACACTGAGTTGAGGAAGGAAAGGGCTTTATTCGGCCAGAGCGTTGGCAGACTTATGTCTTAAAAAACCGAGCTCCCAGAGTGAGCAATTCCTGTCCCTTTTAAGGGCTCACAACTCTAAGGGGGTCCACATGAGAGGGTCGTGATGATTGAGCAGCAGTGGGTACATGACGGGGTGATGGGGGAGGTGGGGTGGGTGGGGGGGGGGGTGCTGCATGCACCAGTAATCAGAATGTAACAGAACAGGACAGGGATTTTCATGATGCTTTTCCATACAATGTCTAAATCTATAGATAACACAAGCAGTTAGGTCAGGGGTTGATTTTTAACTATCAGGCCCAGGGCGTGGCGCCAGGCTGTCTGCCTTTGGATTTCATTTCTGCCTTTTAGTTTTTACTTCTTTTTTCTTTGGAGGCAGAAATTGGGCATAAGACAATATGAGGGGTGGTATCCTTCCTTAAGAGTTTAACACGTGCAGGAAAAAGTGGCTAGTCACCTTCTAGATATGGCTGTCTCAAATGTGGGGGTCTGTGCCAGAGCTTCTTGGGGGCTTTGGTATACTACTGTTTCTGAAAATGCCTGGGCCTGATTCAGGGACACATCCACTCTGTTAAAGGCTGATGGGGTGCACTGGGCCATTGCAGCTGTTCAGCCTCAAGGAAATCTGTTTTTTTGTTTTTTTTTTTGAGATGATGTTTCGCTCTTCTTGCCTAGGCTGGAGTGCAATGGCATGATCTCGGCTCACAGCAACCTCTGCCTCCCGGGTTCAAGCAAGTCCCCTGCCTCAGCCTCCCGAGTAGCTGGGATTACAGGCATGAACCACCACACCTGGCTAATTTTGTATTTTTAGTAGAGACGGGATTTCACCATGTTGGTCAGGCTGGTCTTGAACTCCTGATGTCAGGTGATCCACCCGCCTTGACCTCCCAAAGTACTGGGATTACAAGTGTGAGATCCCGCGCCTGGCTGGAAATCTGTTTTCAACTGCAATGGAAAAGGGGAGAAAGAGTGAGAGAGAAAGCAGAGCTCTGGGTTGTGGTGTTTACTCTGGAAAATATCTCCTACAATTCATCTTGTTAACATTTTCACTGACTAGTGGGCAGTAGCTGATGGACTGGCAATGTGGTCTGGTGCCTGGCAGTGGGGCAACTTGATGATTTAGTCTCAAAGACTGAAGTCTTTGTAGGGATGAACATTATGGCAGCAGACTGCACTGGACCTCCAGCCCCGTTCATGACTCCTGTGGCTGCCCATGAAAAACGACCATTCAAAGATGAACATCAATGGAATCTACAAGTTAATCAGACCTGTGCTGGCCAAGTAAGGACCATGGCCACGTGGACATACCAGCACACAAGGCATGGTAATCCATCTGCAACTCAGGACTGCACCCCCAAATTAGACCTAGTGATTCCAGCACGGGAGGCCAAGGAAGTCTGGCAAGTGTGCTTGACTGCCAGCTACACAGTTGGGTGACAAAGGGAACTCCAGGGTGCATAACCAGGGGTGCTATCCCTGTCTGCACAGTAGTCATGGGCCAGACTATTCGAGGACTCTTAGATGGACTATGTTATATATTTAGATTCCCTGAACACATCTAATCAACAATGGTGCTACCTTTACAGTAAAAAGTACCCTGGAGGCTGGGAGCTGTGGCTAACACCTGTAATCCCAGCCCTTTGGGAGGCCAACGTGGGTGGAACACCTGAAGTCAGGAGTTTGAGACCAGCCTGACCAACATGGCAAAACCCCATCTCTACTAAAAATACAAAAATCAGCTGGGTGCAGTGGTGGGTGCCTGTAGTCCCAGTTACTCGGGAGGTGAAGGCAGGAGAATCGCTTGAATCCAGGAGACAGAGGTTGCAGTGAGCCAAGATCGCACCACTGCACTCCAGCCTGGGTGACAGAGTGAGACTCTGTCTCAAAAAAACAAAACAAAACAAAACAAAATGCAAAACTCTCCATAGTGGTGATAAAAAGTTGCATTGCCTGACTTCTTGCTGACCTTTTGAGGTGAGGGTATGTGCAGTCATCAAGCTCTTGCTGGGTCAGGATTAATATTTGATGACCAATAAAGATTTTTTTTTTTTTTTGAGACATAAGTTTGCTCTTGTCACCCAGGTTGGAGTGCAGTGGCTCAATCTTGGCTCACTGCAACCTCCTTCTCCTGGGTTCAAGCGATTCTCCTGCCTCAGCCTCTCGAATAGCTGGGATTACAGGCACCCGCCACCACACCCAGCTAATTTTTATATTTTTGCAGAGACAAAGTTTCACCATGTTGGCCAGGCTGGTCTCGAACTCCTGACCTCAGGTGATCCACCCGCCTTGGCCTCCCAAAGTGCTGGGATTACAGGCATGAGCCAGCGTACCCAGCCTCCGTATGAGGGTTTTGATTAGGTATGTGGCTTTCTGCTCTGGCTCCCCAGGGTACAGCTGTAGGCTATAAAGTTGCTCAATTGCAGTCTAGAATTGGCTCCTCAGCAACAGACTGTCCTATCATTTGTGACGCAGTCATCTAGTCCCTTTTGTTTTGGTGTCACTTAGTATAAAGGCCGCAAGAAGTTCACGCCTTTGGCACTTTTCCTTTTGCTGTCTATATGAGTAATAAAATGTTAAAATTGAAGAAAAGTTCACTGTTACTTAACCCATCAAATCTGTCAGGAGTTTGCTTCGTCCTCCTGCTATGACAACAGCTTAACAGCTATTACAACAGATTGGATGCAGAAGCAGATGGAAAATTCAGCTTATGTATTTATTTATTTATTTTGATGGAGTTTTAGCTCCTGTTGCCCGGGCTGAAATGCAATGGCACAATCTTGCTCACTGCAACCTCCGCCTCCCAGGTTCAAGCGATTCTCCTGCCTCAGCCTTCTGAGTGGCTGGGATTACAGGCACACACCACCATGCCCGACTAATTTTTCTGTGCTTTTAGTAGAGATGAGGTTTCACCATGTCGGCCAGGCTGGTCTCAAACTCCTGACCTCAGATGATCCACCTGCCTCAGCCTCCCAAAGTGCTGAGATTACAGGCGTGAGCCACTGCACCCTGCCAGCTTCTTCTATTGAGTATTAAAGAATTTTGCAAAAATGTAAAATAATGCCTCTTTTGTTACTAAATTTTTTAAAGGAAAACATTTTCATAAAAATATTTATGTTAACAAGTAATGGATTTATTAGTTTTTAAAATGAATATATACATATATGAAATTTCTGCATTGAAATGTCTAGTTTGGTAAATAGTGATGAATTTAGCTCACACAAACAAAAGTATAACCATCCAATGGGTCCACCTTCCCTGCTGCCTAGACAGAGCCAATTTATCAAAGACAGGGAAATTGCAATACAGAAAGAGTAATTCAAGCAGAGCCGGCTGTGCGGAAGACCAGAGTTTTATTATTACTCAAATCAGTCTCCCCCAAAACTCAGAGATCAAAATTTTTAAGGATAATTTGGTGGGAAGTTGGGGGCGAGCAGTGAATAGGGGGTGCTGATTGGTTGGCTCGTGGATGAAATCATAAGGAGTTGAAGCTGTTCTCTTACGATGAGTCAGTTCCTAGGTGGTGGCCACAGAACTGGTTGGCAGGTCGAGATGGGGTCATTCAGTTGTCAGAAATGCAAAAATCTCAAAAGACATCTCAAAAGGCCAATCTTAGGTTCACAATAGTGATGCTATCTTCAAGAGTAATTGGGGGCTGGGCGTGGTGGTGGCTCACACCTGGAATCCTACTACTTTGGGAGGCCAAGGTGGGAGGATCACCTGAGGTCAGGAGTTCAAGACCAGCCCGACCAACATGGAGAAACCCCGTCCCTCCTAAAAATACAAAATTAGCCAGGCGTGGTGGTGCATGCCTGTAATCCCGGCTACTTGGGAGGCTGAGGCAGGAGAATTGCTTGAACTCAGGAGGAGGAGGTAGCAGTGAGCCGAGATAGCGCCATTGCACTCCAGCCTGGGCAACAAGAGTGAAATGCCATCTCAAAAAAACAAAAAAACAAACAAAAGACAAATCCAAAAATATTAGCTGGGTATGGTGGTGTGTGCCTGTAATCCCAGCTCCTCAGGAGGCTGAGGCAGGAGAATCGCTTTGTAGCAGGATGAGCGCAGAGAAAACTCCTCAGACACCGAGTTAAAGAAGGAAGGGGTTTATTCGGCCGGGGGCATCAGCAAGACTTCTGTCTCAAGAGCCGAGCTCCCTGAGTGAGCAATTCCTGTCCATTTTAAGGGCTCACAACTCTAAGGGGGTGCATGTGAGAGGGTCGTGATTGATTGAGCAAGCAGGGGGTACGTGACTGGGGGCTGCATGCACCAGTAATTAGATTGGAACAAAACAAGATAGGAATTTTCACAGTGCATTTCTATACAATGTCTGTAATCTATAGATAACAGAACCAATTAGGTCAGGGGCCAATCTTTAACTACCAGGCCCAGGGTGTGGCACCCGGCTGTCTGCCTGTGGATTTCATTTCTGCTTTTTAGTTTTTACTTCTTTTTTCTTTGGAGGCAGAAATTGGGCATAAGACAATATGAGGGGTGGTCTTCTCCCTTAGCCTGAACCCAGGAGAGGGAGGTTGCAGTGAGCCGAGATCACGCCACTGCACTCTAGCCTGGGCGAGAGTGAGACTCCGTCTCCCTTCCCCTAAAAATAAAAAGTAACTGGGGAAGTTGTGCTTCTTAGGGCCTCTGGAATAATGGCTGGTAATATTTAGAATTCCAGCCCCTCTCATCCTAATTTGGTGGCTGGTGGCCTTTCATTCATTTTACAAGAACAATTTAGCCCTTGGGAAGGGCTATTATTTAAACTATAAACTGAATTTCTTCCCAAGGCTAGTTCGGCCTATGCCCAGGAGTGGACAAAGACAGGTTAGAGGTTGAAAGGAAGATGAGATGGGTTAGGTCTGATATCTTCTACTGTCATTGATAAAGCTCTGATGACTGGAGGAACACCAGGATCCTTGGTCTCTGATAGGATTAACAACACAGACACATGTGGGGTGGTTTCAAGGAGCGAAAAGTTTAATAGGCAAGAAAGAACGAAGGAAGAGGAAAACAGCTCCTCTATTGAGACAGAGGGAGCGGAGATTGGAACAAAGAGAAAAGCACCGTGTGCGGAAAAGTGGCTGCGTATCTTGGGATGCTGGAGGAGGCGGTGTCTGGTTTCCATAGGGCTCAGGGGATTAGTTTGATCAGATGTGTCATTTACGTGGCAGCCAAAAACCTGGCCCTCCCACCCTAGCTTTTTAATATGCAAATGTAGAGCGCCATGAAGTTCTACTCACGTGGGAATATGTGGGGGTTGGCCATGTTGCCAGGCATCTGTCAGGGCAAAGAAGAGGAGGGCGGGAATCGCCAGGTTTGGGTGCACCCAGTTTCTAATGGCCTGAGTTTGCATAGCATAGCTTGCCATCCGGCTCTAGGATCCCAGGTTTTCCTGCTAGACAAGAAACCTTTCTGGAGCTGCTTTAAAAGAAACAAAAGCCGGGCGCGGTGGCTCACGCCTGTAATCCCACCACTTTGGGAGGCCGAGGCGGGTGGATCACGAGGTCAGAAAATCGAGACCATCCTGGCTAACACGGTGAAACTCCGTCTCTACTAAAAATACAAAAAATTAGCCGGGCGTGGTGGCGGGCGCCTGTAGTCCCAGCTACTCGGGAGGCTGAGGCAGGAGAATTGCTTGAACTCAGGAGGAGGAGGTAGCAGTGAGCCGAGATCGTGCCACTGCACTCCAGTCTGGGAGACACAGCGAGACTCCATCTCAAAAAAAAAAAAAAGAAAAGAAAAAAAGAAACAAAAACTTCCCAAGGCCCCCTTTTCTTCTCTATCTGCCTAAAATAATTTCTTAATAACTCCTATAACATCCGAATTTCCTTAGTTATAATGTTGCAAAGGCTGTTTCAAAAGCTCTTTGGGGTCTTCAGTAATTTTTAAGAGTCTAAAAGGATTTCAACAACAAAACGTTTGGGAACCACTGTCCTAGAGAAGGTCTCCATGGATACGCATAAGTCTGTCCAATTGGAGTCCTGGTCTATTTCTTTTCTTTTCTTTTCTTTTTTTTTCTTTTTTTTTTTTTTGAGATGGAGTCTTGCTTTGTCACCCAGGCTGGACGGAGTCTTGCTCTGTCACCCAGGCTGGAGTGCAGTGGCACACGGTCTCTGCTCACTGCGAGCTCCGCCTCCCGGGTTCACGCTATTCTCCTGCCTCAGCCTCCCAAGTAGCTGGGACTACAGGCGCCCACCACCACGCCCGGCTAATTTTTTGTATCTTTTTTAGTATACACAGGGTTTCACCATGTTAACCAGGATGGTCTCGATCTCCTGACCTCTTGATCCGCCCGCCTTGGCCTCCCAAAGTGCTGGGATTACAGGCTTGAGCCACCGCGCCCGGCCCGTCCTGGTCTATTTCTACATTAGACACCACACAGCAGTGAACACACAATGAACAGGTCAACACGTGTCATTATAGAAGTGTGCAAAAGAGGTAGTAGCAGGCGTTCTTACGTTGTAAGTGTATTTATATAATGTTTACAACCATGGAAAACAACACTATATTTTGCTTACGGGTACCTGTGGTATACACAACCCCAAATATTGCGCCCGAGAGGGACCTAGAGGGTCAAAGTGCGCCTCAGCATTTTCTCTCGCCCTGCACAAGTCGCATTCCGCCCCGAGAACTACGCTTCCCGGCAGGCTGCGCGCCGCGCGGTGACGCACTTCCTCCAGTTGTGCTTCTTTCTTCTGGCGCCGCCAGTGGCCCGCGGTGCGCGTTCGAATCCGTTTCAGACACGGTGCTGCTACTTCGTTTGGTCCGTGCGTGCGCGCGCAGATGTGGGCCCCGCGGGAACAGCTTCTGGGCTCGGCTACTGAAGGTGAGTCTGGGCAGCGAGACCGCCTCCCCCACCCCGTGCTCCAGCCGCAGGCGCCGCGCAGGCATCGGCCGTATCCACGAGAGTTGCACTGGGGGTGCGAGCTGTGTGAGGCGCTGACTACCCCTACAGCGGCTCTTACTCCCCTGGAGAGCCAGGTTCCTCCCTAGGTGTCCCGTACAGTCTCCACGGTGCTCACTCCACGACTCTTCGCCGGGTCTCCTGCACTTGTGCACTCCGGCAGTCATTGGCCATTTATGGTTGTTGAGCATTTGAGATGTGCAGAGTGCAACTGAAGAACAGCATTTTATATTATTATATCATTTATTTTGAGAGGGAGTCTCGTTCTGTCGCCCAGGCTGGAGTGCAGTGGCGCGATCTCTGTTCACTGCAACCTCCGTCTCCTGGGTTCAAGCAATTCTCTGCCTCAGCCTCCCGAGTAGCTGGGATCACAAGCGCCCTCCACCACGCCTGGCTAATTTTTGTATTTTGAGTAGAGACGGGGTTTCACCATGTTGGCCAGGCTGGTTTTGAACTCCTGGCCTCGTGATCCGCCCGCCTCGCCCTCCCAAAGTGCTGGGATTACAGGCGTGAGCCACCGCGCCCGGCGTATATTGTATTTTTATATTTTTTGAGTCGGTCTGTAATGCAGTGGCGGGATCTCGGCCCACTGCAGCCTGTGCTTCCCAGGCTCAAGTGATTCTCGTGCCTCAGCCTCCGGAGTAGCTGGAATTACAGGGGGCGCCTCACCACCCCGGCTGTTGTATTTTTAGTAGAGAGGGGATTTTGCTATGTTTGCCAGGCTGGTCTCGAACTCCTGGCCTCAAGCAATCCATCTGCGTTGGCCTCCCACAGTGTTGGGATTACAGGTGTTACCCCCCCCAACCCGGCCCAAAACACTTTTTTTTTTTTTTTTTTTTGTAGACAGAGTCTTGCTTTGTAGCCCAGGCTGGGGTGCAGTGGGCGATCTTCGCTCACTGCAACCTTTCTCCCCCAGGTTCCAGCGATTCTTCTGCCTCAACCTCCCAAGTGGCTGGAATTACAGGTACATGCCACCACGCCCAGCTATTTTTTTGTATTTTTAGTAGAAACTGGGTTTCACCATGTTGGCCAGGCTGATCTCGAACTCCTAACCCCAGATAATCCACCCGCCTTGGCCTCCCAAAGTGTTGGGATTACTGGTGTGAGCTACTGCGCCCGGCCCCAAATGACTTCCAACAGGAGCAGTCTAGAACAGGGCTGGGCAAACTTTTTGTGTTTGTTTTTTTTTAATAAACAGTGTCTCCCTATGTTGCCAAGGCTGGTCTCCCAACTCCTGGGCTCAAGGGATCCTCCCGCCTCGGTGTCCCAAAGTGCCAGGATTACAGGCGTGAGCCACTGCACCTGGTCTCGCAAATGTTTTCTTTTAAAGGCCAGGTGGTAAATATTTCAGGCTTTGTAGGCCACACAGCTAGTGGTCTGCTGGTGTGTGAAAGCAAAGACTATAGGTAAACGAATGAGCATTGCCGTGTTCCAATAAAACTTTCTTTATGGACATTGAAATTTGAACTTTGGCTGAGTGCAGTGGCTCATGCCTGTAATCCCAGCACTTTGGGATGCCGAGGCGGATGGATCCCTTGAGCCTGGGAGTTTGAAAATAGGCCATGAGTAATTAAGAAAAAAACAACACTAGGTGGCCATGGGTGACTAAGGGAAACACCCAATGCACCCAGAATTCAAACAGAAAAACAATTCCAGAAACCTCCCCCCCAACGTCTCCATCCCGCACACAAGCCCTAACCAATCAGAGTGAGATGCCTTGCTCAGGCCATGACAAGCCCCAATCATCTCGCGCCCCAAAGCTTTGTTTGAATTTCGTGCCCTAAAAGCTTTGTCTGAATTTGTAGTCTGTGCCTTTATAAGCAGCCTGTAACGAGCACTCGGGGTCCCTTGGCCATCCTTGTGCACGAGGGACCCTGGCGCGCTAGAAATAAAAGTGTCTCTCCGCTATGATCTCGGTATTGAGTGGTCTCTGGCTGCGACCCCTGCCCAAAGTGGAGCTTTAACTTGGGTTCCAACATCTGGGGGCTCGTCCGGGATTGGGGTCGTCCGGGGACCCTCGACCCGTCTGGCGGAGACCCGCTCGGCCCGGGCCACCGACTGTTGACCGGACAGACAGACTCTATCAGGTACTTTCGTTTTGCTCTGTCTTGCCGGGTGATTCTGGGGAGTACTCCGCCTGAATAATTAAGTGGGGAAGGGGGACAGACGTGTCCGGCACCTTCCCACTTACGCCCCGGGGGACGCCCTGGCGGTTGTCTGGAGGAAAGCTGACGACTCCGTCAGCCTCCTCAAATCCAAAGGCAGGTCCTCCCTGCCGTCGGAATCCTTTGTAAAACTGTGGCGCCTTTCTTCAGCCGCACGGCTCCTCTGTACCTGTTTGGTCTCTGTTTATGTTGTTGTCATTTTATTCTTGTGTGTGTATGAGCCTCTGGACAGAGCTATGGGACAGACGCTGACGACTCCTCTATCCTTGACCCTGACCCACTTTTCTGACGTTCGAACACGAGCCCACAATCTCTCTGTAGAAGTCCGTAAAGGACGATGGCAAACTTTCTGTACGTCTGAATGGCCCACCCTCCACGGCGGGTGGCCCCGAGACGGAACTTTTGACCTATCAATTATTTTACAGGTTAAGGCAAAGGTGATGGACCCCGGACCACACGGCCGCCCTGACCAGGTGGCCTACATAATCACCTGGGAAGATCTAGTCCGAAACCCCGCTTCTTGGGTAAAACCTTTCCTCCCCTCCACCCCCCCTTCCCAGTCAACTCTCCTTGCCTTAGAGGCCCCAAAGAATCGGACTCCGGACCCGTGTAAGCCAGTCCTCCCAGATGAGGCTCAGGAAAACCTTCTCCTCCGTGACCCTCTGCCTCCTCCACCTCACAATCCTCCTCCTTACACTTCGCCCTCACTCCCTGCCTTGTCCCGTTTCCCCCCCTACCCCCTCAGCCCCCACTCTCTCTCCGGTTTCCTCCTCTACCCCTTCTCTGACCCTGTCTCCCTCTCCAGCCCCACCTGAACTAACCCCTAGAACACCGCCACAGACGCCCCGTCTCCGCCTGCGGCGGGCTGGGGACCCAGACGGCCCTTCTACCTGGCAATCCTCCCTTTTTGCCCTCCGCACTGTCAACCGCACGGTCCAGTATTGGCCCTTTTCGGCCTCAGATCTCTACAATTGGAAGACCCACAATCCCTCCTTTTCCCAAGATCCCCAGGCCCTAACCTCGTTGATAGAATCCATTCTCCTCACCCACCAACCCACCTGGGATGATTGTCAGCAACTTTTGCAGGTTCTTCTAACCACTGAAGAGAGACAACGGGTCCTCCTAGAGGCCCGGAAAAATGTGCCAGGACCAGGAGGACTCCCAACCCAACTTCCCAACGAAATAGATGAGGGATTTCCCCTCACCCGCCCGGACTGGGACTATGAAACAGCACCAGGTAGGGAGAGTCTCCGAATCTATCGCCAGGCTCTGTTGGCGGGTCTCAAAGGGGCAGGAAAACGCCCCACCAATTTGGCCAAGGTAAGGACTATTACTGAGGAAAAGGACGAAAGCCCGGCTGCCTTCATGGAAAGGCTTCTAGAAGGGTTCCGAATGTACACTCCGTTTGACCCGGAGGCTCTGGAACATAAGGCTACCGTGGCTATGTCGTTCATAGATCAGGCAGCGCCAGATATAAAAGGAAAACTGCAGAGACTAGATGGGATCCAGACCTATGGATTACAAGAGTTGGTTAGGGAAGCAGAGAAAGTATATAATAAAAGGGAAACCCCCGAGGAAAGGGAAGCCAGATTAACAAAAGAACAGGAGGAACGAGAGGATCGTAGAGATCGAAGGAGAGATAAGCACTTAACGAAAATCCTGGCGGCAGTAGTGACAGAGAAAGGGCCAGGGAGAGAGGGGTAGAAGCGGAGGCGGCCGAAAGTAGAAAAGGACCAGTGCGCCTACTGCAAAGAACGGGGACATTGGATTAAAGACTGTCCCAAGCGTCCTAAAGACCGGAAGAAGCCTGTCCCCGTCCTCACCTTGGGTGAGGACAGCGATTAGGGATGTCAGGGCTCTGGAGCCCCCCCCCCGAGCCCCGGCTAACTCTCTCTGTAGGGGGGCACCCCACCACCTTCTTGGTGGATACAGGGGCTCAACATTCTGTTTTAACAAAGGCAAATGGGCCCCTGTCTTTTCGCACCTCCTGGGTCCAGGGGGCAACGGGAGGGAAACTGCACAAATGGACCAACCACCGGACAGTCAATCTTGGAAAAGGTATGGTGACTCATTCCTTCTTGGTGGTGCCTGAATGCCCATATCCCCTCCTGGGGCGGGACCTTTTGACCAAACTCGGAGCTCAAATCCACTTCTCCGAGAGTGGGGCCCAGGTGTTAGATCGGGATGGCCAGCCCATCCAAATCTTGACTGTGTCCTTGCAAGACGAACACCGGCTTTTTGATGCTCTGGTCACCACTGGCCTCCCCGATGTTTGGCTACAGGAATTTCTCCAGGCTTGGGCGGAAACAGGAGGACTCAGGCGGGCCAAATGTCAGGCTCCAATTATAATTGATCTGAAGCCCACGGCGGTACCCGTGTCCATTAAGCAATATCCTATGAGCTGTGAGGCTCGTGTGGGCATTCGGCAGCACATTACCAAATTTTTGGAGCTCGGAGTCTTGCAACCATGTCGCTCACCCTGGAACACTCCACTCCTGCCAGTAAAAAAGCCTGGTACTCAGGATTATAGGCCCGTCCAAGATTTAAGAGAAGTTAACAAAAGAACCATGGACATTCATCCCACGGTCCCCAATCCTTACAACTTGCTCAGTACCTTAAAACCAGACCACAGCTGGTATACAGTATTAGATCTAAAGGATGCATTCTTTTGTCTACCCCTGGCCCCCCAAAGCCAAGAACTTTTTGCCTTCGAGTGGAAAGATCCTGAGAAAGGAATCTCGGGCCAATTGACCTGGACCCGGCTTCCCCAAGGGTTCAAGAACTCTCCCACTCTCTTCGACGAGGCTCTTCACCAAGACCTGACTGACTTCCGAACCCAGCACCCAGGAGTGACCCTGCTCCAGTGTGTAGACGACCTCCTCCTGGCTGCCCCCACCAAGGAAGCCTGTGTGCAGGGCACTAGGCACCTACTCTCCAGACACTTGGAGAAAAAGGATATCGGGCATCCGCCAAGAAGGCGCAAATTTGTCAGACCAAGGTAACCTACCTGGGGTATATCCTGAGTAAAGGGAAAAGGTGGCTCACCCCTGGGCGGATAGAGACTGTGGCTCGCATTCCGCTGCCTCGGAATCCCAGAGAGGTACGTGAGTTCCTGGGGACTGCCGGGTTCTGCCGCCTGTGGATACCCGGTTTTGCTGAATTGGCCGCCCCCCTCTATGCACTCACCAAGGAGAACACTCTCTTCACCTGGTTGGCGGAGCATCAACTAGCTTTCAAGGCCCTAAAGAAAGCACTCCTCTCGGCCCCAGCCCTTGGGTTCCCAGATACCTCGAAGCCTTTTACTCTCTTTGTAGATGAAAGAAAAGGGATTGCCAAAGGGGTCCTAACTCAAAAATTAGGGCCCTGGAGAAGACCGGTGACGTACCTATCTAAGAAACTGGACCCTGTAGCAGCCGGATGGCCTCCGTATCTCCGCATCATGGCAGCCACCGCTATGCTAGTCAAGGACTCTGCTAAGCTAACCCTTGGGCAGCCGCTAACTGTTATTACCCCTCATGCTCTAGAGGCCATAGTGCAACAGCCCCCGGACCGATGGATTACCAACGCATGCCTGACCCACTACCAGGCCCTCCTACTGGACACGGACCGCGTCCGATTTGGCCCTCCGGTCACCCTAAATCCTGCTACGCTGCTACCGATACCAGACGACCAACCGAGCTCCCACGATTGTCGGCAGGTGTTGGCGGAAACCCACGGGACGCGGGAAGACCTTAAGGACCAGGAACTTCCGGACGCGGACCACACTTGGTACACAGATGGTAGCAGCTATCTCGACTCA